GACACTTTTGGTGAAAATTCCCAGTTACTCAGTAGTAATAACTAGCGGAGTACAGTCAACTTTATTTTACAGCTAGATAACACAATAACTCAAAATAACATAGCAAAAGAAAACAATAATAGCAGCCGCTAGCCTCATTTCTTCAAATATGGAGAACTAAAGTTAATACCGGACCAATTCACATAAAAATGCGAACAATCATTCCCTGTACCTAGAAGAATTAACAAAGAAATCAAAAGAGTCAAGCAATCACCGACATTCACCAAAGAGACGTTCTGGATTCAACCATATTAACTAGATACACTTTTATTATTAAAATTTGGCAATAGTAGAATTAGAGTCAATAACCCAACATCAAACCTTGGTATTCACATGAGAGCTAAGCACTAAAAGGAAAGAAAGAAAATGAACGATAAACAAATAACACTAGAAATAAAAGAAAAACACCTAAAAATTAAAAACTACTAACAACTAGAACCACAACTGATCCCCCCCAGTACCTAAATGATGCATTGCCCTCAATATAGCAAATAAACATCAAACGTAGGAGAAAAGGCAACAAAACTTCCCTGAAGTCGGGTCAAAGTGGTGGGCAAGGCGGACATGAAGGAGCGAGACCCGCATGATGCATAAATTGCGCCAAATTTTGGGCCATGCCAGCCACATTGGCTTCGATGTTGAGCATCCGAGCCTCCAAATTCTGAACCTGCGTCCGGAGTTGTTGCCATTCAGCAGTCCCTGGGGACGGAAGCGGCGGGGCGGATAGGGGTGTGCAAAGTCGAAAAATTTCGATTTCGAAATCGATTTCGAATTGAATTCGAAATCGATTTCGAATTGAATTCGAAATTTCGAATTCGGAATTTCGGTAATTCGGAAGTGAATTCAGTAATTTCGATTTCGAATTGGTCGAAATCGGGTCGAATTCGAAAACATAAATTTTAAAATCGGTGATTCCGAATTCGAATTGAGAATCGATATGTTTTCCTATTTCGAATTCCGATTTCGATTCTCAATTCGAATTCGGAATTCGAAATAGGAAAACATAATTTCGAATTCGATTTATAATATTTATATATATAATATAATATTTTAACAATATATTATATATATAATAAGATAATCAGTTAAATTGCAAAACAACTCCCAAAAAGACAAAAAAGCAAAATTGCAAATTGCAAAACCTAATCTTCCGCCTCTTCCTCATTCCTCAATTCCTCATTCCTCAAATTGTCTCTGTCCAAAACCCTTCCTCCACAGCTCCGCCTCCACTGCCTCCGAGACTCGAGAAGCCGAGAAGGAGCTCAACTTCGAAATACTTGAAACACAGCCGGAGGACCAGCAGCGCCTCATCTTCGCCGCCGCAACCAAGCAGCTTGAGGATGCCCGTACACTAGCCGACTACAACATCCAGAAGGAGTCCATCTTCCACCTCATCCTCATCCTCCGTGGTGGCGCCAAGAAGCGCAAGAAGAAGATCTACACTAAGACCAAGAAGATGCGGCAAGTGTGGCCTCACCTATGTTTACCAGAAGGCCGGCGGTGACTGAGGGAACTTCTCTCCCCTTTTTGTTTTTATAAATTTTATAGTTACTAGTCTAATTGAACATTAGCAGCATGTTCTTTATTGGGTTTGAATGCTTTTTTTTTCGGTTGGGATTGTGGAGTGACTGGTGGTGAGCCGCGGCTGGAGAAGCCAGAAGGGCATTTTATCCGCCAAGAAGACGCTGGTTCTGGCGATAGAAAGGTACTACTGTCTGCTGGCAGCTGTTGGAGCCTTCGGAAGGGATTGATTTCCTTCCTCCTCAGTCCTCCCTATTTCTTTAATTTGGAGCTTCTTTTGCTGGTGAAAGATTCATAGGGGATTATTTAAATAAACTGTGATTTGCCTTTGCTTGAACTTTATCTATCTGGGAAAGGCTTCAAGCTTCATCTTATGAATCTGATGAAGCTTCATAAGATTAAAAAATAAAAAAAAAGGAATTCGGTGAATTTGGAATTCACTGAATTCCAAATTCAATTCGATACCGAATTCGAAATCGGAATTAGCCATTTCGAAATCGAATTCGGTCGAAAAAATTGAAGCCAAAATTTTGAAAATTTTAGATTTCAAACTTTCAAATTACTACTTTCGATTTCGATGCACACCCCTAGGGGCGGAGGTAGATGGGCCAGGATCAGCACCAGCAGTGGAAGAACGGGCAAAAGAGAATCACGGGGGAACGTCAGGCGGTCCCAGGTCAGTGAATCGGTAGATACCATCGACGTACTTGAGAACTTCCATCCTCTCCAAGCAGTCCGCATCCAGAAATTCCATTTCAAATGCCAAATAAAGGTCATGATTCTCCACTGTCCAATAGTTGAAGAAGGTGGAACTGATGGTGGCTAACAAAGGGGGACAGAGGCCGCGGTTGGTGAGAGATGCTTGCTTGCAGACGGCACGATTGCGGCGGTGGCTATAGGAGGTAGCGGCATGCGGTTGGCACTGGCGGCGAGCGAGAGAAAAAGAGTCGCGAGGGAGGCGCTGGTAGGAGCTGCTCGACAGTGCACGAGGGAAGGTCGCAACCACGGAGATGGGCGCAGCGCGCAACGGCGATACGAGGAGCAGTGGCCTATGCGCGGACAACGGGCGAGGTGGAGTGAGGCACGTGGACAAAGGGGGAAACACGTGGCTGGGCTGGTGGATATGGGTGGTTAGCTACAGAGAGCGAGAGAGCTGGAGGAAGTGGAGTGGCGGTGCGCTATGGTGGCGCGCTCGAGTTAGTGGCGACCGAGCTGGGGTGGACGCGCACTGCTGGAGAGAGGTTCGGGCACGAGGTGGATATGCAATGGAGAGAGAGAGGCATGTGATGGAACTGCAGTGGACCAGCTGGTGGGCGAGCTAGTTGGCCTGAGGGAGGAAGCGGCGCACAAACAGCAAGGCGACTCAGCGGCAAGCGGCAGCTTGCAAAGCAATTGGCGGCGCACAGCGTTGGTCGACTGTGGGTTGAGAGAGTGAGAGGCGCGCGGCTGTGGATCGAGGAGAGAGAGGGGCGAGCGAGGTGGGTGCGGCGGCACGCAACGTTGATAAGGGGAGGAGATGGTGGCGGCCAATGGTTTCAGTCGAACAAGAGAAAGAAACAGCGGAGAAGAAAGAAAGAAAAGAGAAAGAAAGAAGAAGAAAGGAAGAAAAATGAAGAAGGAAAGGAAAGAAAGAAAAAGAAGAAAAAAAAAAGAGATAGGTTTTTTTTTTTTTTTTTGAAAAACCTAGCTACGGTAAAAAGAAAATAAATTTTTTTCGTTTTGTTTTTTTTATATTATTATTAACAAAGCTTATTTTCGAAATTAAAAAAAATCCGAGATTAACAGGAAATCGAAAATTTTTCTCGAGGTTTTTCATACTTACCTTTCTCGTAAACGTGACGTGGGCACGTCAAGAAGACAAGAACCCTTCTGACCATGAGCTCTCGATACGACATGACGTGGGCACGTCAAAAAGGCAAGAACCCTTCTGACCATTAGCTTTCCATACGACATGACGTGGCCACGTCAAAAAGGTAAAAACCCTTCTGACCATGAGCTCTCCATATGACATGACGCAGGCGCGTCATGTCATAGAAATACCTATGAGTCATCAAAAACGAAAATTGAAACCAGAAATCAATCAAACTCAGGGTAAACATATTTAAGCTATCAAACAGAACTGAACAAATAATTAAAAGAAATTGGGTTACCTCCCATTGAGCGTCTTTCTTTAATGTTTTTGGCTAGACATAGTTGAGGACTACTTATTAAGTGGGGCACGGCGGTGCATCTAGACTTATCATCTCTACTTCTCCACTTGAAAAACCTTCGTAATAATGTTTGAAACGGTGTCCATTCACCACAAACTTATTATCTGTCTTAGCACTCTTGATTTCAACTGCACCATATGGAAAAACGTGAGTGACAATAAAAGTTCAATCCAACGGGAACGTAGCTTACCTGGGAAGAGTTTAAGCCTGAATTGGTATAGGAGAACCTTCTGACCAACTTCAAAGGTTTTTTTAGAGATTTGTTGGTCATGAAATGTCCGGCTCCTCTCCTTGTAAATTAGTGCATTTTTCGTTCCAGATCTCCTCCAATTCTTGCAAATCCAACTTTCGTTGGGCACCGGCCTCTTCTAGATTCATGTTACACTGTTTAATCGCCCAAAAAAGCCTTGTGCTCGAACTCCACTGGAAGGTGACACAGCTTTTCAAATACCAATCTATAGGGTGACATCCCTTTGGGGGTCTTGTACGCCGTTCGATAGGCCCAAATACCATCTTCCAACTTTTGACTTAGTCTTTCTTATTGGGTCGCACCATTTTCTCCAAAATGGACTTAATTTTTCTATTCGATATTTTCGCTTGACCATTGGTTTGCGGGTGGTACGATGTAGAGACCCTATGGAGTACGCCGTACTTGCGAAACACCGCGGCTATGATTTTGTTGCAGAAATGCATCCCCCTGTCACTAACAATGGCTTTCGACATCCTAAAACACACAAAAATATTAGACCTGATAAAATCTGCAACCACTTTCAAATCATTAGTTTGGGTGGCCTTAACCTCTACCCATTTAAACACATAATCGACTGCCTACTAAATATATACAAAATCAAATGAGGTAGGAAAAAATCCCATAAAATCTATACTCCATACATCAAAAATTTCGACAAAAATCAACGGGACTTAGGGCATGTGATCTCTACGTGCTATATTACCTACCCGTTGACATCGATCACAAGACTTACAAAACACATACGCAACTTTAAACAAAGAAGACCAATAAAACTCACTTTCTAATACCTTATGAGCAGTTCTTTTGGGTCCAAAATGACTTCCACAGGCAAAAGTATGACAAAAAATTAAAATTGATTGAAATTCAACCTCACTTACACATCGTCTCATCACTTGATCTGCACATCTCTTCCATAAGTACGGATCATTCCAGATGAAATATTTGGTATCGCTCTTCAATTTGTCTCTCTTCGATTTTGGTTAACCTGCAGGAAAATTACCAGTTACCAAGTAGTTAACTAGATCAGCATACCAAGACAATTGAGAATTGAGAGAAAATAAGTGTTCTTCAGGGAATGCATCCTTCAATGGCTCATTCTCACCTTCAACTGGTATGCGACTCAAATGGTCGGCTACTAGATTCTCTGAACCTCTTTTATCCCTTATTTCCAGGTCAAATTCTTGTAAGAGCAATATATACCTTATGAGTCTCGATTTTGCATCTTTCTTGGTCATTAGGTACCTTAACGCTGCATGATCAGAAAATACAATAACTTGAGCACCTAACAAATATGACCTAAACTTCTCTAAGGCAAAAATAACTGCAAGAAACTCCTTCTCAGTAGTGGAGTAGTTTAATTGAGTTCCGTTCAAGACCCGGGATGTATAGCAGATGACATGAGCTGCCTTTCCCAATCTTTGCCCCAACACAACTCCTACAACATGATCACTGACATTGCACATGATCTTAAATGGAAAACTCCAGTCATGAGGCTGGAATAGATCCTTCAACTTGTCGAAGGCTCTCTCACGCTTGTCATCGAATTCGAAGGTCACATCTTTTTGTAAAATCTGGAAAAAAGGGGCTCCAATTTTCGAAAAATCCTTGATGAACCTCCGATAAAAACCTGCATGCCCAAGAAAAGAGCGCACTTTTCGCATACTTATGGGGTAAGGTAAAGCAGATATAATGTCTATTTTAGCTTTGTCAACCTCAATACCTTTAGAAGACACCACATGACCTAGGACTATCCCGTCTTCAACCATAAAATGACATTTTTTCCAGTTAAACACAAGATTAGTCTCGATACATCTCATTAGGATCAATTTCAGGTTATCTAGACAGGTATCAAACCTATCACCATACACATTGAAATTGTCCATAAAAATTTCAATAATTTTCTCTACATATTTTAAAAAGATACTTACCATACATCTCTGGAATATTGCAGGTGCATTGCACAACCCGAATGACATCCGTCTATATGCGAAGGTCCCGAACGGGTACGTGAAGGTCATCTTCTCTTGATTCTCTGGTGCAATTACTATCTGAAAATACACTAAAAATTCATCCAAAAAGCAATAGTAAGCACGACAAGCTAAACGCTCAACCATTTGATCAATGAAAGAAAGAGAAAAATGATCATTTTTCATGACAGCGTTTAATCTGCGATAGTCAATGCACTGTCGCCATCCCGTGAGTTTGCGTACTGGCACGAACTTACCCGTTTGGTTGGCCTTCACTGTCACTCCTGCCTTCTTTGGTACTACCTGGACCGGGCGCACCCAAGGGCTATCTGATATTGCAAAGATGATCCCCACATCTAGTAACTTCAAAATTTTTTTCTTCACCACTTCTATCATGAGGGGATTGTGCCTCCTTTGAGCTTATCGAATAGGTTTGGCATCCTCTTCCAACCTCATTTGATGCATACAGACGGAGGAAATGATTCCCTTAATGTCGGTGATGGTCCACCCTATGCTCTCTAAGGACCCGGATTAGTTTCTCCTCATGGGTTTTCGAGAGTGCAGTTGAGATAATCACCGGGAGTGTTTCGTTGTCGCCCAGATACGCATATTTCAAGTGCTTCGGCAAGGGTTTCAACTCCAACACCGGTGCCTGCACCACAGATGGTAGTACCCTTTGGTGAGATTCGAGAATAAAAATAGGTGAAACTTCATACCTTCTCGTTGTAGTTGGCAACGAGTATAATACCCCTATTGTGTATTTCAAATCCTCACTTCACTTTATCTCAGGAGTTGTCTCCAACTCTAAGTGCTTGGTTAAAGCAACTTTCAACTCATCCCTACCAACAGTTTCAAACACTTCCTGCACCGCAAGGTCAATAGTACTTACAGAAAAAACAGAACTAAAGTTAGAATTTGAGGGATATTTCATAGTATTAAAGATATTAAAATGAACAATTTCTCAATCAAATTCCATGGATAAGGTACCCTTATTAACGTCAATTTTAGTCTGTGCTGTGTTAAAAAAGGGTCTACCTAATAGCAGAGGTGAGATATCGGGGGAGAGATCATCATCCATGTCAAGTACATAAAAGTCAGCTAAAAATACTAAATCATTAATTTTAACCAACACATCTTCAACCAACTCATCAGAATATGCATTAGTTCGATCAGCCAATTGAATAATTATCCAAGTTTCTTTTAATGGACCTAGATTCAGAGAAATATAAATAAATTTTGGCATTATATTGATCGATACTCCTAGGTCCAACATGGTCTTCCTAATCAAAGTATTACCTATCCTACAGGGGATAGTAAACATACTTGGGTCCCTGCACTTTGGTAGGAGTTTCCTTTATAAGACCGCTGACACATTCTCCCCCACGATGACTCTTTCGTCTCCCCTCAACCTTCTTCGATTGACACACAAGTCTCTCAAAACTTTTGCGTACTCCGGCACTTGTTTGATTGCGTCTAGCTGGAGAATATTAATCTCTACCTTGCGAAATACCTCCAGGATCTCCTTTCCTTGTCCTGCTACCTCGATTTCTCCAGTCTGCTAGAAAAGGGAACCGGGTCAGGGAGTACTGCTAAATTTTTGTCATTGCTACCCTCCTTCTCAAGCTCGTTTTCGATATTTTCCTCATCTTTGTTCTTAGGGATCACAGGTTCGGGTCCTTGGACCTCCTTGTCACTCCTCAAGGTCATTGCGCTTACATTTTTCGAATTCAACTCAGGTAGAGATGGCAACTTTCATTGAACTTGGGACTCCAAGCGGTTGATCGTGATGGCCATTTGATTCATTTGATTTTGCATAGATTGCATCTGGCTCATTTGATTTCTCATACTTTGCAGGTCTGAATCCGTCTTTTATTGGTTAGCAAGTAATTGTTTCATTATCTCTTCCATGGACGGACTTGAGTTTGAAGGGGGTAGTGGTGGCCGAGGGTGGTACTGCTGTTGATGCCCTTGTTGTCTATTTGGCATAAAGTTAGAATGTCTATTCTCTCCATAGCTAAGGTTGGGGTGATCCCTCCAACCAGGATTGTAGGTACTTGAATACGGATCATACTGCTTCCTTGGCGCGGACGCGTGACCAGCCATTTTCACATGCTCCTCACTTTCTTCTTGGATCATTGGGCACATCTCTGTAGAATGACCCATAGCAGTGCAAATTCCACGCACTTTGGTTTGTGACGCATTCCCTACAGCTAATTGCCTAACAAAGGAGGTTACCTCTGTCAATTGCTGCTGGATGGAAGATGTCTCTATCTCATTCACTTTGGGTGTCAGGACATCTTCCCTCGTACCAAACTGCTGCAAATTCTCAGTCATTCCTTCAATTAGCTCCCACGCTTGTCGAGGAGTCTTGTTCACCAGTGCCCCTCCACTTGCAGCATCAATTATGCCCCTGTCTCAGAAAAGTAGCCCCTCGTAAAAATATTGTATGAGCAATTGCTTACTTATTTGGTATTGGGGGCATCTAATGCACAATTTTTTGAATCGCTCCCAATAATCATAGAGCAACTTCCCTGGATGCTGTTTGATACCGCAAATTTCTTTCCTTAGACTTGCAGCTCTGGACGTAGGAAAATATTTATCTAAAAAATATTTCTTCGATTGGTCCCATGTGGTGATAGTACCTGGTGATAGGTAGTACAACCAGTCTTTTACAGAGTCTTTCAAAGAGAAAGGGAATGCTCTCATTTTTATCTGTTCCTCTGTAATTCTCGAGGGTTTCATGCTGTTGTAAACGACATCAAACTCTTGCAGGTACTTATACGGCTCCTCACCTGGTAAACCATGAAAAGATGGTAAAAGATGAATTAGACAATATTTTAATTCAAATGGAGTGTTATCATTTAAACTTGGGAAAGTAATGCATAAAGGCTGCTGATTTAAATCAGGAGCAGCCAACTCCTTAATGTTCGGGCATTAGCCATAGTGGCTTCTTTTCGATCCGAATCACTTGAAAAATCACCAAGCGAATCTGTTGGTTCAATCTCTGGATCAGAACTCAGAGATGCAGCACTGGAGTGTTCTTCTCTAAGTTGTCGGGTCTCTTTCCTTGTCTTACGCGTGGTCTTCTCTATCTCGGGGTCGAAAATTAATTCACCTGTACGAGAAGAACGAGGCATGCACTCGAAAAGTACCAGAGAATTAGAGCAAAAATGAACTTAAAAAGGAACAAATAACTAGCGCCAGTCCCCGACAACAGAGCAAAAAATTGACAGGTTGTCGATGCCTGTGCAATAATAAAATTAAACCTAGTTGCCAATTAAAATAATCAAATCCCAATTCAAGTACTGGAGCAGGGACTTTAGGTGTACAATGTTTTACTTGATTCACCCTATTTCCGAAGAGTTTGCTTGATCCGATATACCCGAGTGGGCCGAGTGGGATGACTTTTTCACAAATAATTATTAATTTATAAACAGTGTAAGTAGGGTTGTATTCTCAAGGATTGGAGATATTTGTCTCTTTTTGATGTTCAAAAAACAATAGGGGATTTTTCATAACAATGGCAATAAGTAAATGGTTCGAATAAAAATAAAATAATCAACTAAAAATTAAATGACAATTCACTAAAATCAGAGTAATAATAACTAAAAGTCTAGCCAAGAAATAATTTCAGCAATGGTTCATCTAACTGATTATCGATGCACAAGCAATTCCAATTATTTATTAATAAATAGGTTATAACTGCCAAACAAGCGATGACAGTCAACCCCTCCTTACTGTGTTGGTGATTAAGGTACGCCCGTTAATCACTGCTCTAATTGAGAAATAATCTTAGGTACGCCCATAAGATTTAATTCCCCAATTGCCTTACGTATTAGAGGAACCCTATTCTAATCAAATAACGCACTACCAGGGTTATTTCAGATTAGTCCACGTATCCCTCTGACACAAATTTAATCATGCCAGTTGTCACTAATTCAAGGCAACTAAATAATTACGGATTTAATGCTCTAATTGACAATAGATTATCAAATTAACTAATTATCCGAATCCAAGACAATCAATTAATTAAATAATCATAAGTACTGCAATTAAGGAATATGTGAATACCAATAAATAAAGAGAAAAGATAAAATTAAATCGATTTCACAATTTTTAGGTGAACCAAAACCTCTGTTGTTCCTTAACTAGAGTGAGAGGATTAGTTTATATTTGGTGCGAAAAATTCATACAAAATTGAAGCAAAAGTCGCGGCCATTGACTGCGAGAATTGGGACAATTCGATTTCGTTTCAATCAAGAAGAAAAGCCAGCTACAGAAAGTGGTTAATCATTCAATTCGTCTGACTTCCGAAGAAAGAAAAAGAAACTGCTAAAAGCTAAAAGAAACGAAAGTCAAACTTCTCCTAATTTTTCTCCTGACATGCGTGGAGAATAACTACTAAGAAAACAACGAAAGTGGAAAGGTCAAAAGCAAAGCTCAAAGGATAGTGCTCATTCTCTGTTCCTCATTCTAATTTTCTATCTAATTGCCATCCTGATGTGCTGCGGCTCCCCAAGGGAATAAGACTCCAGCCCGTGCTTTCTTCCTCGGCAATTACCGAAATGGCCCCAAGTTTTTTCGTTGCCAACAATGCCCTTAGGGTAAGCTTTGTGACTTGGATTCCTTTCCTGTCAAATTGACACTTGTTATCATATTTTCGTTATACTCCTTGAAATAAATACAAAATACTAATAGTGAGTAAAATCCAACAATTAATTCACATCAGGTCAGGTAATAGAGGAAATTAATTATAAAATAAATGATAAAATTACAACCTATCATCGGAGCAAAGAGTGCAAAGTGCAATTAACACAAGTAAATGATATTGATCAGATAATAATGGTGTTATTTTAAACAAGTTGAAAATGAGATTGTTTAATGAACATATCATTATTGGTATATAGACAAGCAGGTTTTTAGACGCTTGCAAAGTTTGATATTTAAATTCAAACCAAAATAGCATGGCATGGACCTAAACTCGTTTATACGTTAATGGTGCAAAAAAGATTAAAAGCCTTAATGATATTATCAAAGCAACAAAGTGTACCTTCATATAAGTCGGTATTTCACTTTGCTTCATGAACTAATTTTGTAAAAACATTCCCTCACAAAAAAACTAAGTTTTGTCAAAATATGACACTTTGCCCCCTATACACTTTTTTGCTTTCCTTTTTCCCTGCTAATGGAGAGTCTGTTATTACTACGATGGTAGAATGTTCCCAATTGATACCTTACCCAAGTTGTGCTGCCAGAGCTAGAGGACGCGACTTGCACATAGATAAATTATTCAGTCAAAAATCGTTTTCCCTTCTGATTTTTTTTTCTTGGCAGTTCCTCCAATTATTTTACATTTTTTCTTTTTTTTTAAAAATTTCTCCTTCACCTTCACTTCCTTCTTTAACTTTTATTTCAACCCGATATTGCCTAGGTTACTTACTAGGCCCTACTAACATTTTACATTCAAAATCATCAAGATATGGCATAAAAGTATGAGCCCTACGATGGCTAGATCCATAGCTTTAAGAGGCAAGGTGACTTAATTGAGCAATATACGGATATGGTAATAAGGGAACATTTGAATTTTTTGTACAATTGATCCTCTCCTTTTATCCCCTTATGTTGTTCTCATAGTAACTGAAATTTTATATAGCAGCAAAATCAAAATTCAAAGAAAGTGGGAGCAAGACTATGCATTGTAAGTATAATGTATTGCATATTATTCAAGCACTAGATCCAAGCATAATATGGAAGCATTAAGATGTTCAAGCAGAATTGAGCCAATTGACTGCCTTCCAGAACATCTAATTCTTATAAAGAAAGACTATAGGAATATGTTTGAATCATCCATTTATATTTTTATTTTCAAATAAAAAGCCAAAGGTGTCTTCTTCATTAGCTCACCCCATTAACAACTTCAGCTTGTAAGCAGCTGCAAATCAAGAATTCATGCATTAGTATGAGAAGCCATCTTTTTCCATGCTGGTGAGCGCGACGCATAGCTTTTGATTTTTTTTTCTCTTTTTTTGGACTGGAATAGATTTTGACTGATAGAACGAGTTAGCTTGCAAGCCTAGGTCAAGACTAAAATTCTTTACCTAATATAGAAAAAATGGACTTCAACTTGTGGGCTGTATTAAATTCTTGAGTATACCTGTAGATATTAAGCTTCAAAATTTTCTTGATGCACCCTGACACCAAGGAAAACATCCTTAATGAGATGTAATTTTCTGACAACTTCATTCATATGCATCCTATCATTTGGTAATCTTGCAGAGCACTTAAGTCCAATTTTCAGCAGGAAAATAATGCACTCCATCTCCTTTCCACCATTGCTATTTTTCCCTCCAGGAGTCATACTTCTGTTTTCATCTCCTTCAAGAAGAAGCAACGGGTCCACGATCTCAGAAACTTGTTCATGCAAAGCCCCATTAACATAGTTATGTAGATCAAGGTCACCCACGAATATATCATCTGTTGGCCTCCTTCCTGTAGTCATCTCTAGCAAAAGAATGCCGTAGCTGTAGACATCCCCTTGAGTTGATGCCGCAAGACCCATTCCATACTCTGAGATTTTGTTTCTAGACATGTTATTATTGGATGGTAAAAGAAAAACTATAAAAAAAAACTAAGTGATTAAAATTAATCAAATGTTAGATTGGGGCATAGTGGACCTTCTTTTATAACAAAATGACTTAATTAAAATTAGCTACTATGCATCGGTGATTAGTGATATCATAGTAATTATAATAAAAAATTAAAAAGAATTAAATGTCCCAAAAGTTCTATATTTCTGCGCACAATTAAGTAAAATCTTGACCATAAAAATTTGTGTTACCTGGGGCTGCGTAGCCGATTGTTCCTTTTATAGCAATAGTACTGCTGCCTTTTTGCTCGGAAGATCTGTTGACGGGTTTCGGGAGAAGCCTTGCCAATCCAAAATCACCCACATGAGCAACAAGATCATTGTCAAGAAGAATGTTACTTGGTTTTAGATCACAGTGAACAATCTCAGCTTCGCAGTGGTCGTGAAGATATTGCAATGCTGAAGCCACATCAATTCCAATATTTAGCTTCTGAAGAAGATTAAGACTTCTTGAGCTTGTTGCCTGATCAGTTGTCTCTGAAGGATGCAGCCACAGGTCCAGATTTCCATTTTCCATCAATTCATAGATTAGAGCTTTGAATTCATCACCCTTGGAATCAATACTGGAGCAATAACTCACGATAGAAACGAGGTTTCTATGGCGAATATTTCTCAATGCTTTGCATTCGGCCTTAAAACTTTTCGAAGCTCCGTTCTTTTGAAGATCAAGAACTTTAACTGCTACAAGCTTGTTGCCATGTTTTTCTAGCCTTCCTTTGTAGACAGATCCAAAATTTCCTGAACCAATTAAGTTTTCTGGAGAAAATCCAGAAGTTGCATGAAGAAGTTCATGGTAAGAAAGCCGTAAGAGCTCATCGATTCTTGGGGGCATGCTAGAGAATCCCGCCACCATTCTTCTTTCTCCTTTAGGATATACCAAGAAATATAACAACATTGCACCGAGAACCAGAAGCGTTGCTGGTAAAACAATGGACAGCAATATGATAACCTTCAGCTTTCCTCTGTTTTTCCCCTTAATCACTGGGCAAGGTGGGAACTCCAATTCTGGAATGCCTCCACAGAGTTTGTTGTTGCCAGTCAATGATATTTGACTTTCATTCCTGAAAACTCCTGTCTTTGGTATCTCGCCCTCAATGTCGTTGTAGGAAAGATTTAAGTAGTTCAAAAACTGAAGCTTCTCAAGTTCTCTGGGTATTGGACCAGTCAAGTTATTACTTGAAAGGTCTAATTGCTGGATGCTCTTCCAAGAAGCCAAATTTGGTGGAATTGTTCCTTGGAAAAAATTGGATTGCATAAAAAGATTCTCCAAATTTGAACAATCAGCAAGTGATATGGGTATGTCTCCAACAAGTTGGTTGTGGGAAACATTGAAATCCACCAAATGTATAAGCTTTCCAATTTCAGATGGCAGAGAACCACTAAACGAATTTTCACCCATTTTCATGTACATCAGTGATGAGTGCGTCTGCAAAAACTGTGGTGATATAATTCCAGTAAATTTGTTTTGAGATATATCCAGATATTGCAAATTTTGACAGTTCATAAGAACGTTGTCAAATATATTACCCCCTTCAAACTGGTTAGTTGATAACTCTAGACGGTATAGAGCAGTGGCATTGCATAGGGTGGGGACTATCTGTCCTGACAACTCATTTTGGTATAGACTTAGAAGTTGCAAATTTTGTAATTTGCCAAAATCTCTTGGAATGACCCCTGAAAGATAGTTTGATTCAAGGGTAAGGAGATATAGATTGGCAATTTTTCCGAATCCTTCTGGAATGTTTCCTGACAGTTGATTTTCCCCAAGGAATAGTTTTGTGAGATGATTTGAGAGATTGGCCATGACTCTAGGTATATTACCTCCAAATTTATTGTAACTCAAGGAAAAAATTCTGAGATCACTGCAGTTGGTCAATGATGCAATAAAATCTAAGTCTCCAGTTGAATTACCGCCGAAGAGGTTTCTTTCAAGATTTAAAATTTGAAGATTTGTCAGATCTCCTAAATTAGTTGGAATTTGGCCGGCAAACTTATTATGCGAAAGATCAAGTACCTCAAGCTCAGAAGCATTGGTGATTGAAGTTGGAAAGTTTCCATAGAACTTGTTGTCCCCAATAAGTAATCCTTCCAGATTTGGTAGGGTGAGACCTATGTTGGTTGGGAGATTGCCATGAAAGGAATTGTAGGCCACTGAAATGGTAGTAATGGCTGAACTATTAAAGATAGAGGCAGGGATTATACCAGAGAGTTTATTTTCTGCTGCTGCAAAAAAAGATAACCTTTTTAAGAGCCCCATTTCCACGGGCAAATTTCCCTCCAGATTGTTAGGGCCAAAATCGAGTTGAGTCAGCGATGATAAGTTACCAATGGAGGAGGGAATCTCTCCTGTCAAATTGTTTGTGTAAAGAAAAAAAATTTCAAGCTTCTTCAAATTGCTCAGCTGATCAATCGGAATTTTCCCTTCTAGCTTGTTGTCATGTAGGCTAATATCTATCATCTCTGTGCAGTAGCTCAGGTTTGCTGGGATTTTTCCACCGAGTGCATTACTTGACAAGTTCAAGACTCTTAGCCTGAGGAGGCGACCAAATTCTTGGGGAATCCCACCATGGAATTGATTCTCCCCAAGTTTCATGAACCTCATGAAGCTTAGATTTCCGACATGAGGAGATATGGTTCCAGACAACTGCTTATGCCGTAGAGTCAAGGCTATGACCCTCTGATGTCGAGTACCACAGGTGACTCCTGCCCACTGGCAATGGTGCTGTGAATGGTTCCAGGAAATCAGCACACCAAACGGGTCATCATATATCTGCTTCTTGAATTCAAGCAGAGCAAGTCGATCGGTCTCATTTTGAAATTGTTTAGCAGATGAAACATGGCTTACTGAAAGTAGGAGAAAAATGTTTGCTAATGTCGATGAGCGAAGTCCCCACATGGTCTTTGTTGGGATTGGCTACAAACTGATGATTGAATGATAAAAGTTTCTGCGTAATGGGAACAATAATGTTTTGAGCTGTTATAGAATCTTGTGTATAGCCCACACAATTGGAACTAATTTTCTTGGTATATCGTTTTGGTGGAAGCTCATTTTATCGTTGTCAGAACTTAATACAGAAATGGCCAGTAAGCTTCCACCGACTTGCAATTTACGCATATCGACCATGACCAATACTTTTCAAAGCTGGGATTAATGTGATCATCTACCATAGATGATGATTAGCGGGAAGCCTTCATTTGTGTGGAGTACTTGATCTTCCCAGTTAACACAAATCACAAGAATCTGTCGGTTGGCTTAGGTGAGTTCTGTTTAATCTGTTCCCAAATTTACCCTTTTTATGTTGTTTTAATGCCATTTTCTCAAAAAATTTTAATTTTTTTTCAAAAAGAAGGGTTTGTTTTTTATGTTATAATTTTTAGTTTTTTCTTTTTTTTTTATGTTGACTTAATGTAATATGTACATATCAGGTGTCTGCTGGGTTAAGAAAAAAATTTTAAAGTAATGCTCCAATGTTATTCCTAAAATCTATATCAGATTGTCATCCTGAAGCTAATTTGCTTCATTTTAGAATGTGTGATAGACAAGAAAAAGTTTTTTATTTTTTTCCAAAACATGAGGGATAATTTGGTGGTCCCAAGATTTTTAATGAAACGGAAAAATAGTGGGTGAAGGCTATCATTTATGGTCCGCAGCTGGGAAAATGGTTATTGGTCCTTTACGTATCACCGTCTATCAATTTGGAAAATGACCACACCAATTAGAAAATGAGCTGATGGGCCATTCAGTGACTGGATTAATGAATCATAATTCAAGACCCATAAAATGACCGCCGTTCCAACTGAAAATTTTCCACACGAGTGATTATGAACCCCCTTGGGCTCTTTGCCAAGGGCCCAGTTAGCAGACTTATTAAATTGGGCAGACTATACTAATACCGGCTGAACCCTTTGAAAAATTTCTTATTTTGTTCACTTGATTTTTTTTCCCCAATTCCATTTGATCATTTAGCTTAGCTTAGATGCCTCGTCTTTCCCATTCATCTAATTTCTATTGTCTTCATCCATTTAGCCATTTAGATCTAGAAATGAGGCATACTGATGAGATATGGGTATTAAGTATCGGATTAATGGATAAAATTGGATAACATGGGCAAAATATGATATTCACTGTTAGGGTTTTTCTAACGGATGTTTAGGGCACTCAATAACACACCTAATAACACAACTGAAACGAAATAATTTCTTGGTATATTTTCGAGTAAAATGAGCTAAACTTCGTTGTGAGAACTTACATTCAGAAATGGTCAGCGAGCTTCCACCAACTTACAATTTAGTAACCTAATAAAACAAACACGCAAGATGATTATTGGTCCATTTACTTGTTATACAAATGCTATTATTATGGCTTTCAGAAAAAATAAGAAGAAATTTAATATTAATTTTGCTTCCACTAGAAATTATTTGTGGCTCTGCCCTTTGACCAGTATAAAGGTTTGCATTAGCATGTTCGTATCTCAGAAAACTTTTTCTATGAGAAACATTATTTCCAAAAGCTAAAGAGGAAAATTAATAGAATGGAAAAATCGTCCAACAGGTCAAATTTGCTTCAAAGTTTTATGCATGACTAAGTTTCTTTCTTATTTTGCTTCAGTCTTTTATGCATGATTAAGTTTCTTTCTTATTTATTCTTAGGTAAGTTATACTTTATCATCTTGTGTATCAGAGCCTTTCCACATAATCCCTTCGTGATTAAACTAAAGTGTCAAGCGATAGGAGATAACGTTCAAACTATAGAATCTCACCTCAACCAAAGACCCTAAGAAGTAATTGGATCTACATTGTTTTTGGTATAAAAGTTCCTATAAAATTGGGAAATGCCTATAATGGATTAACTGAAATGTCAAGATTACCGCCGTTTAAAATCTAAAATGACTGGAATGGCTAAAATATATACAAATGTAGTATGCATTACACTTTAGCCCCTATAATTTAGCATTTTTTCAGATAACCCTCTTACGATTTTCTAATCTATGTACATGTGGTTAATAAATAATTTCCATCTTGACATTGGAATAATTCTAATATTTTAATCAACTTTGCCACAAAGGAAAAATGTGAGGAAACCATATTTCTAATCAACTCTTAAAACCATAGGAGAGCTAAGTGATAGCTCAATCCCACACCATAAAGTTAAGACATGTCAGACTAGAATATAAATAGGAATTTAAGAGTTCAAATTAAAATTGAGACATTCATTTTGTCCTAATTAGGATGGAACTTAAAATCTTAAATAATTAATTAGATTTGACCGCTAACGCTCGGGGTTAGGTGAACAGATTTTCAAGCTAGGGCCGTGTTTGGTTATATTTTATATATAAGATAACACATCCCAATTAACCGAATTAATCCCCTATATATGGGATAAAATAATCCCATGAAAGAGGTGATATTAGTCATCCTGGAATGACTAAGAGATAGGATGATGAAATATTAGACTAACTTATCCTTACAAATAATATAAATTTATACTATCATAATTATATAACCTTACACTCACACGATAATATAATATGAATAGATTAATTTGCCCCTACAAATTAATTTATTATTTTTGACTAATTTGCCTCTACCACCAACATAACAATGTTTGAACTAATTTGCTCTTGTGGATGATACAAATTCACACTGAATATTATATAATCATATTGTCACATAATAACATGATAATAAATGGATTAATTTGCCCCTACTAATTACATTAAAAAGATTTACTAATTTGCCCCATTCATTTTTTAAAATTTTTGACAAATTCACCCTTATTAATTAATCTAAATTTTTGACTAATTTGCCCCTACTTCATAATAAAAGGACTATATTATCAATGGACTAAATTGCCCTTACAAACCTTATTTTCTCAACCAAATTCTATAATTGGGCTTTGCAAATGAGGGCTTCAATAAGCTCCACCTCGGTCCAAAGAAAAATTTTCTATATTGGCTTGAGTTTGGTTGATTTAAGGGATAATTTCATAAACCTCAGGGGAGGATTTTGATAATTTCACTGAGCTCCTCTAAGATTTGAAAAATTATACTTACCTTCCTTGATTTGATAGTTTTAGTAACAAAATCTTAAAATAATATTGACTTGGTCAGTTTTTAAATGAATACCCAAAAATATCCTTGTGTAATGAGTTTTAATTTATTTTCCTATACAATTATAAGATTATATAGTATAATTATAAGGAAAATGTGCCAAATTTTTCATGTCCATATCTACTATTTGAAAAACAATTATAATAATAATTTTATTACTATGATATGATACTTTTGATGGTATTTTATTATGGATTTAGATTTATAAGATAGAAAAAAATGTTAAAATAATTAATTTAGAGTTTATGAATTTTTGGAGTAGTGGGATTATCATAATTTAATAGTGTTTTTGGGCTATTTATTTTTGATTTATTGTTAATTTTAATACCAAAAATAGAAAACAAAGATCAGCAAAAACATTGGATTACATATAAAATTAATTCGTCAAAAAATCACTAGTTCGACATTTGGTTATAATAGAAACTAGGGCAATAGTGGTAGTTTTACAATTTTATTAGCGAAAAATTAGAAAAAATGAATAAGAAGGAAAAGGAATGAAATAATAATTTTAAAACTCATTCTAAGTATAAGCCTACAAAATAAGGGATTTTCATTAAAATATTTAAGAGTACAATTGTCATTTTAAATGACAAGGGAGGTATGTATAATTTTTCAAATCTCAGGGGAGCTCAGTGAAATTGTCAGATACCTTTGGGGAGGTTTCTGAAATTATCCCTTGATTTAAAACTCTTAAATGGGTTGGGTTTTATTCAATTTAACCCTAGTTTAGCGAAAACTCGGCCAATTTTTTAATTGAATTTCAAATTTATATTCAAAAACTAGGTTAAAACTTATTTTTAAAGGTCCGAATAGGTTGAGTTTGAGTGAATGCAAATTTTTATATATCAAAACTCTTGATTTATTTTATAATTCTAAGGTTTCAAATTATTTTATTTTAATAAATGTGATAAATGTTATAAATTATTTTACTAAAACGATCCTACAAATTAAGGGGTACTTTGATCATTAAAATAGTAATCTTATCTCATCTAATATCCAATCAAACACATGATTGAGTTATTTTTCAACATATCATATTCAACCTAGAACCAACCAAACACTAAATAACTTGGATTATTAATTTGAGGATGACTTAACCCAGGATTAATAATCCAAGGATGAGTCTTTCCATTTCATCCTGTCTGTGAACTAAACAAACCCTAAAGCCCTGAAAACAAATAAATTGGGTAATAAGGTAGGAGCCTTTATGCTTACAAATCAAATGATTTGGATGTAAAATGGCTTATCGTCCTCTCAAATGCATATAAATCTATGCCTTTTTTTAATTTTGAATAATTACCATTATTTTAGTTCAACAGATGGATGGGCTAGATGTAGACGTCTCACTACTAAATGCACACGTTTTATTATTCAATTAAATAAAAAGAACAAATGCTTAATAGAGGGAAGAGGGCAATAAAGGCATGGGGAACAGGGGAATAAGATGAATTATATTCCCAGATATTGGTGGCTAAAAAACTTCTTTAACCCAATCTTCAAATGTGATAGGTCATAATTTGTTGCTAAATTTATAATTATTTTCCCCTTGATTTTAGCCAAATATTGTATTAATTGATAGATTCTACTTATATTTGGTATTTGGTACTAATTATAGGAAGATGGAGCAAAAAGAGATAAAAGATGCGATTTTTCAAGCATGGTTTTCCAATTCAAAATGGAGTATACGTGGATTATTGGCGGAAGATTAAGAGGAAGTCTATTTGGTTTCAAAAAGCTAAAAATTAGGAAATGATAGGATGGCCGGCCCGTGTGATTAATACTCGGA